TGCCCAAATGAATTCTTTTCAGATAAACAAACTTATAATCGGATCAAGGTAACCATTTCTGCCGTGCTGAGCACACACCAAATGAGCCTTCCGACTGACTTCATGAGATCTCTGTTGAAAGTTTTACTGTGGAACCTCCAATATGGTATATATCAGTGAACGTGCTATTTACGTTTTGTTAGCAGTCTTGAATGTAAGGGAGTACACTGAATTACACTAGTGGTTTCTACTTCCACAATTCCGACCCCGATCAGTGCCCCGTCGTGTAACCGCACTTGGACACATGTTACACCTGGCTATGTGTCCAAGATGTCATTCTACTGTTTCTACTGACAATTTGTAGTGGTGAAAGACAACAGACCATGCAACTGAATCTGCTTGTTGAAGTAGGCTGATGTTGCAATTTGCGAATTTGTTAGGCATCATTTCTGCGTCACTAGCTTGTTGCATTGAGTCAGCGTTTTGCTATGCATCTACAAATCAAGCAAGGTATTCATGCGACAATGAGCAGTTGGCTGTGGTTTGCGACAAACAAAGAACAGAGAGCGAAAGAGCGTGCCAGTGATTGGAGAAAGCACTCACATACTCATTGATTTTGGTTGTGACATTTAGGCAATATCATACAGTACACAAGGGGATGCAAGAAGATCCGATGTGAAATCTCGTCGTGACATCCAAACTTCCAGTGTGTGGTGCTTCACACGGTTGCGCACAGGCATGTTGGATGTCCAATGTGACATAGCCTATGCTTCATACCCTCAGGTAATCACACTGCTTTCACAGAACTGTTGACGATGCTTACTTTCGTTCACATTGGTCGAAGTGGGCTTGACATACCACGTCGTTAACAATGACAGGTTTGAAGCTAGTCTAGATCTTGTTCAGTTCACCAACAGGCACCTTCGACCACGGTACCTGAAGGGGAGAAATTCGTGGCTTCTGTCCTGAGCACAACGTGAACCACACGGCTAAGAACCAAACGCTCAACAGGAGATACATAATGGCGTCATTTGCAAACTTTACCCTAGAAAGAAGAATGGCACGAATGTCTACATTCAAGATGGCACTATGATTGCATGTTTTAACCATGTTTCCATTAAAGGTTTTCGTGGTAGGCACACAAGCCTAGTTGAAATCATGAGGCACCGTGTATGGTCAAATCTTTTAAAACAGCAAGCTTAGTTAACGCCCGTACTTAGCTATTCACGAGACATTTTTGCATACGGTTAAAGAAGATTACTTGCCGTGACGGATAACTTGACGTCTCCATTCCCGGATGAATCACGAATTTACGCAACGTTTATTTGAAATAACGAAGCTATTAATTAGCTGCAATAACTGTGCTTCAGTTTATGCTAACAAGAGTGAGCGAACACGATTTCAACCGATTGCGTTGAATGCACTTCACGTAATGATATTCATTCATAGATCGATGTCGAGCATTCCTACACAAACTGATGCCTCTTCGTATCACGCTAATCATCTGCTCTCTTCACAACGCAATAGACGAATCGATATCCGTCAATTTTGTCAAACGTGTCTAGCATCGACCATTGACGGGAACAAGCTTCAGTTTCGTTGGAAGGAGGCAGCAGCATAAACAAGCTCCATTCTGGATAGAATTCGTCCTAGTATATTTCGCTGTTTCGCAAGCGTAATATCGCAAAACCTCCATTGTCTGTCTCTGACCAGAGAGCAGGGCAGCGATGTATTGGACGTCGCGCTTTGTCCCGACAACAATTCACCTTCAAACCATTTAAACGCTGGTATTCCACGATTCTTTTCACAAAATCGCAATTCAAAGAGTTGTCGTTGGTGGGTTGACCTATTTTTCGTGAAATATGAATCGGCTTGAAGCCTCTAAATCCTATCACAAGAAAGAAGATTGCCATAACGTCTGGGTGTAGAGAGTTGTGTAACGTAATGGGATCTCAGCCGTTAAATGGTGACTAAGCGGTTCCGTTGTGAGCCTTAAACAGCACGTCCAAAGCCTGGTTGCCTCAGCTCACTGATTCAGGCCTATTGACTGCAGATGGGCAGTTGGACGTCAGTTGGAAGGCGGTTCTTGAACGACTCAGGAGACGACGAATCCGTTTTTCCTCCAAGGCCGACGATTTCTTAATCGCCACCTAGGGTCAGCGATACCAGTTTCGATGGCTCCTTACTTGTGCAGGAAGATAGAACAGATACTGCAGCTTGGGACAGTCCACTGTTCGGACAGGTACTGGTCAACAGCGTTGTACATGCACCATTTCTTGTCAAACCGACACGGCAAATTGGTATGAGCCGATTATCAGATTTCCGATAGATTTCGATCAATTATCTCGAATGCACTCCACAATGCAGTTTGTTATGATTATCAATTGTTGTCTCCATGCCACAATAAAGGGCTAAATATGTGTCGATTTTGACCTTTTTTCTACTTTGATCAATTTATGTTGTATCTAGTCTCTACAAAAAAATGAAACGTCATAGGAAAGATTGGGATTACTAAAGTGAATGAATGAGCTGCCTCAAAATGACCTATGCAGGATCACCAACCTTATCAGAAGGCCGAACGAACAAACTCGAGATTATAATTGTCCAACGTTTTGCTGATTTGAAAAATGAGAGCAAATAGTCCTCGGTTGCACTCATGAGTCAATGTTCCATTAGTTCTGTTTGTATAGTCTGGATTGACTGCAAACCATGTACGAGGTTCGTAATTCGGAACACGATTGTGGGTGAATTCCTGATGGGGGGCATGAGGAGGGCGTTTAGGCACACATCGCGCATGCCTTAGCGGATTAAGCTGTAGCAAGTCTCGCATTGACAATTGCCAGTAACGTTAAGCACATACGAGTCACATGTTCAGGCTTAGACATCGGGAATGTAATGCTGCGCGACCAAATTCGTATCGACATCATTCCAATAGTGTCTAGACACAGGATATTACTTTTATTGAAGCAGCTAATGACAGACTGTCGACACTATCCTGCTGGTAGTAGAAATTGTATCGAGAGTAGTAAATTATATTAAAACGTCTACGGGCAAAGTACAATGAAGCCAAGTTTTGCAATCTTGTGGCGACGACTATACGCACATTCAACTTTCACGGTGGTCGTAAATCAAATGCGCGGAAACCTACGGTCTACCTTCCGGTACTTCTTTTAAAGGGAGAATATATGGTAAGCCTAAGAAGACTGGAGATGGCGGCGACACACCCAGTTGCTGCGTAAATGACTGCGTAGTTGAGTGCATCTGGCCACGACAGTTAAGATGTTGTGAAAAGACTCGTTCCAGTTATTCTGTGTTGCTTTTTGTTTTGTCATTTACTGTTATTACTAAAACCATGTAGGTTTCTAATTCCTGCCTAATTCAATTACGCGATATTCGAAGACGGTTATTGCGGTACACCGTCTTAGGTTAGACATGGATATTACCCAGTAATATGTCGCATCGTATTCAGTGTCCACTGGCTACCTTTTTGGTCTTCTTGCTCGTGTGGTCTTGACCCACACCGTGGCCGTCTTGTAGCACTGGTTTTGATTAACCTTCTTTGGTTTCAGGGAGGATCACACTGAACAAAGACGGAGGCGGAGACAGGGGTTTAGGAGATGGTTAGTAAGTAACTGAGACTCGTGACTGAGGGGGAGGGGGGAGAAAGGTCCTGGCGTAGGAGGAAGTGCCAGAAGCAGACTGCAACGCATGGCTGTCAAGCGAAAAGGGGGCGCACGTCGTGAATGCACAAAATTCACTAGACGCAGGAAATCGAATCTTAATCTTTTTCTGCAAAGCACCACCGAGAACCAGGCCTCGAATTTAAGCTTTGAACCAATGTGCAGACACCTTGGTAATCCGATCAGTTGTTATGTCATCCAAACTTACAGTCACAGATTTTACCACTGCTCACACTAACACGATTGGTCCCTGACTGTTTCTTGAACCATGGATCTCATCAGTTATACGTTCGCATTTTACTAATTCATTCAAACCTTATTATTTGGTGTAGATTACATTCAACGTTATCAATTTGCTTAGGATTTGAAAGTGTCGCGAGTATTCGACAAAAACGGCACAAGCGTGCAGTGACCTAATAAGCGGAAGGCGTGATTTCACCAAGCAGACTCCACTCTGGCAAATGTCATAGCCTATTTCAAGATTACTCCTCAATTTGATGTGACCCGACTTGCCCTGGTAAATGTCATTTGCGCATCACTCCTTTGCCTTTGTTAAATACGTCATCTACGTGAGCACATTCACACTTATCAGATATAGTGAGTTGGACGGACGGGCAGTCGCTATCAAGAATGCAATTTGAACCAAATAGTCCCACTAGATTACCCTCAAGATGCAGTAAATAAAGGAAAGTAAACAAACATCAAGGTTTGTGACAGACTTTAAAAACAAATTGTGGACTATAAGAACATGTTAGCGAAAGCGCCTCAATAATGAACCATTTAGCGAATGTATCAATAAGTCAAAATACAGAGCAAATACTCATCGTTCGAGACAAGGGCTGGATTATAATATTGACATGCCATGCAGAAAGTCGTCTTCATGAAACAAGTATTTACAAATCACGAGCCGAGATGAAAATCGCAAACCAATGCTGAATAATCAGTACCGAAATGCGACAACGTTTTCTTGCTTCCGTCAGCACCGGCAACAGTGTCATTAGGGTCATGGATGGTCGGAGGACTGGAGACAAGGAAAGTTGTCTTTATGAAATAAATATTTACAAATCACGAGCCGAGATGAAAATTGCAAACCAACGCTGAATAATCAAGTCTGAGTTGGGACACGGTTTTCTTGTTTACTTTAGCACTGGCAACAGTGTCATTGGGATCTTAGATGGATGGTCGGGGGACTGGAGATAAGCACTGTGGATTTGACCATCATCGGAGTTAACGCAGTAGCGATGACCTGCGTCCTCCACAGCACGACTTCAATGTCCTCTTATTTGAGGCACAGGTCATTGGCATTGAGTGTAGGAGAGAGGTTACGCTTCTTTTGGAGACCTAACTGCAGGCAACACGTGGAGTGGAATGTGGCACGGGTCTAGCCAGGCGGTAGAAAGGAGCCAGCACCCGAGTGCCGTCAAAATTGTCTGCCGCGTTCTCTGCTGCCAACGCGAAAGTCATCGGTGCTAGCGGAGACACAAACGTCTACACCTTGATGCACCTTCCACCTTCAAATCAAATTTGTTCATGCGAAGACTATTATGCATATCTTATCAGCCAAAAAAAATTTAGTGTCAGTTGACTGCCAACTAGATGTCTTTTTCTCGGCTGTTACACATGGTTAGGCAACTCTTCAATTTGAAATCATCAAAATTGTTGAATTAACGGCGATTTTGATGGTTCGAATGAAGAAAATCAACGTTTGGTGAATTCAATGAGTGGTCATTTCGCACATTTTACTTAGTGCGTTGTCCCAAAAAAACAAATTGTTGACGAACGTCTGAGATAACAGATGTCATTTAAGGAAATGGAAGTTACCAACACCGACGTTTAATTACTCACCCAAACCATGAGCATGAAAGCCCGTCTATTGGAAGCTTGCACAATTATCTCGAGCTACTGTCGTAAGAACAACCCACCGTATGTACCACTATGCAGAGAAAACGATGTCTCTAACCAAACGTAGTTAGCAAATGCTTTACACAACTAACTAGATAATGGTGGGGCGTAAAAAAGGAAAGCAAAGGGCTAATTCAAGCAACATAAAGCGACACAATTCAAGCTTAATGCAACACTAATATCATTTAGATTGCTAAAATCATTTACATTAGGAAAAGAAGGCGTGTCGAATCAATGAGGATTTCCATGTCTGTCAAGAATTTGACAAGTCAAAGAGAGAACTGACCATCATATGTGCCTTTTAAATGCACTTGTTTTCCGAAGGAATGTACAATTAAGAAGATTTGATCCCCATATTCATAGCCGCCTTATTGCTACACTCAAATCATTTACATTGGCAAAAGAAAACGTGTCCAACTAATGAGGATTACCATGTCTATCAAGAATTTGACAAGGCAAAAAGCAGACTTAATTTCAATGGGAATGTAGTATTTCAAAGTCATTTCATTTAAGAAGATTTGATTTCCATATTTATAGCCGCCAGCCTACCCATCCACTTAGCACGTATCCCCCCTCTACGACCGACGTCTGCAATAACCACGGTCGGTGGGAAACAGGGAAAAGACAAGCATCAAAGCCTGTCTAATGACCGTAGCCGGCAATTAGAGGGTGCGTCTGGCTTGTGTGGCGAATACCTCGCACCCACTGTAACATTTTTCAAGGTACATTCATCAAGCTCGTCGTCTAGACAAAAAAAATTACTTATCCTTCTAAAGATGGCCACCGACTTTGCACAAGCACATAGTCTACAATTAAACGTCGTTACAGAACCGTGTTTGGAAAGGTAAAATCTCGGTTTAGTTCGACGGGTTATTCCACTCCACCATCATCGATTATGTCGGTGTGGACGAGTGTACTCAGGTGCGACATCCTGCTCGCCAGACGTCTGATTTGGACGCAGTCACATCAAGTGATTATTGGTGCATCCACACATGCACTTTGAAATGCAAAATAGGAGTTGGTCGTGCCTCATATAAATAGGTGATTTGCCATGGCCACACATTGCAGGGCTTCTCTCACCTACGGAATGCAATTCCACGCAGTTCATCTACATGCGAATGCCATTGTCTCTACTCACTAATCAAACGCTGCGAGACATAGGCCGGAGATTTAACATGGTTTAATTTCTACTTCACCTATGTGAATTTGAATTTTCCGAGATCATTTTGCTGCCTTCAGCGTGCAATTTTATCGAAGGACCGTCACTGCAGGCCAGCTTTACGAAGAGAAGTGACTGCGTATTTTATAATTCAAGGCTTTTCGAGGACATCATTTAATTTCCGTATTCACACTTTCTGTGCATTTTCGCCAATCACACCACACCACTCTGATTAAGGCGAAATCATTTTAAATAACACTAAAGATGCTCTGCATTAAATTGTTTAGTAAACTCACCTCACTGATCCTTATTCACTTCTAGACATCGTCCTTCGTCTCTGTAACACCTCAAACTTCAACGCTGAATCACACTCGAAGTGTTCATACAGACTCGTCGGAGGACCTACGAACGCTGGAAGCAGCCTGTCTACGTAGTCCGCTGAGTGGGTCTCCAAAAAAGCAGCAGGCAGGAGAGTTAACTGGGTAGGCAATTCGTGGCAGCTGTTTTATTCGCGAGATGATGGTCAGATCGACGGCCGTTGTCGTTAGCCTTCTGACCATCTGCAATAGAAACGTCAGATGTAAAGCCAAATCAAATTTAAAAAAAAGATGTCAGCTAAATGGAAGACGATTTTATGGACAGCTTACATGAGGATTTAATCGAAACTCACACCTTGTTAGACAAATGTCAGATGGCTGGTTAGAACACAAACCCTTACACATACAACACCGCACTCACTTAACACTAAGCTTATGAAGCAGTAGGAACAAGATTATACCCCTACCAGCAAACATTTTTCTTTCCGCGGCTCCCCTCCTTCGCATTTCACTGCCGCAGGAAGGTCAAACGTTTGTTCAGAGTTCAACTCCTGAGATATTCTCGATAATGTTGTGATGAACACTAAGCAACAAGACCAACCATCACAACACGATAGTGATTGCATTAGCAAATCCAATTTGTCAACATGACAGCCACCTCTGGTAAACATTAAAAAAGAATTTTTTGAGGAATCACGGAGCTGGCAAAGGAGAAATCCACGTGTCAATATATGCGCTCAAATTTACCTTTACAGCACCACGCACCGAATGTAGGCGCTAAAAAAACCTGCCGCGAATGGAATGGCTGCTGCCTGCTTGTATCCAGTTAGCTTGAGACGGCTAGGAGTGCATGCTGATTCTCATTCCAACGCCATTTGGAATATGCGAGGAACAGCCGTAGCGATTCAGACTTGCGTGCCGTAGTTATGTGGCAAACGACCAAGTGAACGACGCGCACGTTAGCAAGCACAGACAAAATTGGCAATGCTGCGACTTACCCTGCAGCTTTACCGCGCTGCACCGTCGGCACCTTCCTAGAATCACGCAAATTGAACCCTAGCCATTTCCCTTCCATGGACAACAAAGGCAAAACCCTTCAACGTCAGCTAAAGTTGTCATGGCGGTTGACCCAAAGTTCCATACACTGGATCCATAGACATTGCCCGTGGTTAGGACTACTGCATTTGAAGAGACATTGGCACCTCACTGACGATGAAAGGAACGGTAGAAGACAGTTGGACTGCAAGTGGAGAAGAAACCTACGGTAGATAAAGCGACATTCTAGCAAGTCGAAAAGAACGAAGTTTCTCGTCCACTATTCGTTCGAGCCTCTATCCTGCCAGGTATGGGGTGGTGGGAAGCGTCAAACTGGAAATTTGGTCGATCATCAACAGTGTAAGAGACGAAGCCAGGAGCTGAGGACAGCTTCCCCCCTGAGGGGGAGGAAGTGTGGTGAAGTCGCGGATTAGGGAGCAGACATATTTTAACACACTGGGCTCAGTCAATTCTCTATCTATGCGATCCAATGGCATGCGCGGAAGATATGTAGACAGCCAGACATAGTCGTTTGTCCTAATGGTATACAATGAGTGGCATAGCCAGCGTGGTGGACTCAGTTGGATGGCGACTAGTATGTTGTTCTAGCTTGCTACTTGCCATAAAGCCGGTTGTATTGTACTAGTCTTCTTCATGCTCGAGCTCGGGTATTCTGAACATGAGTTCGAGAAGTGATCAGATCAAGGAAGTGGCTAGAAGATCTGCGCCTAAAAGGTAAAACAATGAAGATGCTACTCAAATGGATCAAATCAACTGGTCTTTCCACTTTGAAATCCGTTCGGAGGAAGAAGGTGGGTGAGCTCTCCCAAAACAGACCAGAGTAGAAGATAAAGGTTCCAAATTCTCCCTTTCCAAAAATGCAAATGGAAAGAAGATGGAGGAGGCCAGCTTACGATTAATCGATGTCTCACTTATGTTTCATAACCTTACTTAGTAATTACACTTTCTAGGCTCCTGTACGCAGTCGTCCTAGTCATTATCGCATGCACGTTTGATGTATGCGTCACGATAGATAGTTACAACGCGTAGAATGTGCCTTACGCAAGTATCAGCAGTTGTTAGATATAGTTAGTCACAAATTCATCATACTTATGAGAAGTAAGTAAAACGTGTTTGGCTAGGATACGCCGTGTAAAGGTCGCTGAACTCTTCGAAACAAATGACTCGACTACTCGTATTGGCTCGTGCGAAGGAAAAAGTTTTTGCAATAAACTACAAATTCAGTACAGTTTGTGGCTGTCAAAATGCAATTTTGCCTTCATGATTAAGACCATTAAAAAACTGATAATGACATTGCGCTATAGCTGTCCTTTCACTAACCTGACTAAGCAAATTGTCATGACACGTTCAAGGTGCACAAACTAATCGCATATGTCGTTACCTAAAGGAAGGCGCTAAGGCATTTTCTTGGCAATGTCAACTAATTAACGTAATTTTATGAGAGGTAGTTGGGTAACTGGGCCGATTTGTTGACTAGTGTCGAGATGCAAACAAATCAAATCGAGACGTTAGTAGATTGATCTGAAGGACTCGAGTCCCCGGTACCGCCAGACATCTCCCAACATGCGACAAGGTGCATCTCCTTTTATGAAACTGCGTTTGAAAACATGCTTGGCACATAGATGTCCATCTCCAAACTACGTCACTCATGAATATGTGTTTTTAATTGGTTTTGCCGAACTGACCCTGTAACAACCGATGCACAATTGGGCAGTTATAAACAGGAGGGTAGGGGGATTCTTGATGCAGAGCATGCTAGGTAGGCCAAGTGGTTAGTGGTGCGTAACACGATACTTTGGGTCTTTGCAAATCGTTCATGATTTATTCAATGAACTAAGCACTTTCGACTAACGTGTATCTTATAGGCAATAAGCAAAGCCACGAGCAATCAACAGTGACATTGACAGCAGATGACCTGTGTGCACAATATTTAGAGCACTGTTGATGTTGCTACGCGATTTTTGGACCAAAATAAAGCCAGCCAGTGGGAAGTCGTTTTTGTTACATCCCGGTACTTAACCTTTCTCCCCCCGAGAGCTTCAAAATGGCAAATAAGATTTAATTTTTTTTAAATTTATTCAAATAACATTTCACACAAAACCTGTGTGGTTACATGCAGTACAGATAGTAAAACGCAGCATGGTCGCATTTCCAAAGACGCATGTAATTGTCTATTTGCGTCTTTGTTAATATCTTGAGTACATTGTTTAATCAACCACACTTTCAAATTCGCTGAGAGGTGAAACAATGTTAATTTCGTCCACATCTGTTAAGAATCTTGGCTTGTTAAGCAGAAACGCTGTAAATTTTGCATCGCTGCATTCATGTATCATCAAAGAGAAGTCAGGATCTTCGTGGATTCTTTTAATAAACCTAGATTCTAATCAGAGTAATTTCATTTTATAAAAACGTTTCAAAAATGCAATCCTAAGTTAGCGATATATGCAACATTTCAAGCGAACTTTAACATCTGCGCCTGAAAAGCATGCAATCACGTGTTCGATTTGCGGTTTTGCTGTTTGGTAGTTCAAGACGGGTACACCCACCCACCCACACACACCCCAAAATCCGTCAGATCTACTCCACCTGTCACGACGTACTTTAACGCCATACTTGCTCTATTTAAGATTGCCTGGTTGTTTGAGGTGTCATTTATTTCCCTGCAAAAGCTCTGCTTAAATTTGACCGTTGTGTCAACACAAATATGCATGCAAATAAACTAACAACTACCGCTGGTTATTTGATGGTTATCCGTCAATTATCGATAAGAAATGTTAATAAAAAACGCGGAGATGGTAAATTAATAAACTGCCATAACATGTGTTTGCCTAGCATTAGGCAATGTTTTGCGCAATATTGACAATTACAAGTCTTTTATTAACCGTGTCCATAGATAAGAGATTTTAAAATACCATGTTTGTTGGGGATTCACGATTCCCAAGATTGGTTTCTGATTCTATTTACATTAATGTATTGATATTTATTTTGTTACGCTTTTATCATGTCAAGGTCAACCCTGACATAAATTAGTTTCGCTTTCACTTTCGATTTCACTTCTTCTCTCCACGTGGCTGACGTGAACAAAGCTCTCTACTCGAGATCTGATCTTGTTCTGGTATTAGCCTGGGAAGGGCGGTTCTAGCTGTCAGCAAGGGATCTGCTACCATTATTTGAGTGGTTTTCTCTTTTTTTACGGGCTAACGTAACAGTGTTAAATAAGTAAACTGACAATCAAGGAAGTTTAAATAATTAGATCAAAGTATTTTCACACACAAATAGTGCCTTAGCAGTTCCTATAGAGCAGTCAAGCGAGGTTAACTAAGCACTTTGGGCTAAATCACTATAGCAAATGTAGAAGTCAAGAATTTTGAGTCACCACTAGCATCTATCGTCACCACCGCACACATTTTACTTAGTGTGTCCTTTAGTAATGGGGCACTGTTGACCAACGCCTGCGATAAAAAACGTTGGTGAGGTGGAGGGGAGTTGCCGTGATCACCACATCAAACACGGGCATCAAAACGCGCTTAATGGAAGTAGCCAGGCGTTAGGGGTTGCAGCGGACTCATAATTATACCCCTCTTGTCGTACCGACCACTCGCCCCCGTCTAATTAAGAACGGTCATGCAATTGATGGCACCTGTGTATTTGCGTGTTTGCTAAACCTGGACGCCCAAAAAATTCCCACGACACATTAAACATGACTAAGAGTGTCTAAAATGGGAATTTTTTTATAAAAAAAACCAGAGTTAAGGTACGCGGAGAGCAAATCAAGCTGAGATAGAGCACAAAAATTGTCTAAGTAGTTGATTTGAAATACAGCGTGGACAAGTCTGGTTATGGTCTCCCAGCTACTAGGTCTATGACATAAATTTTTTTGCTTAAAGACTAACATTTTATTAAAAACAAACCTGTTTTTTAAGTGTCTTGAGATTTTTGAAAGGATAAGACTCAAGGCTTCAGAACATCGAATGCCAAGTCTACGAGACTGAAATGACCGCTCAGAATAGCACTGTTTACAGTGGCTCTGCATTTTATCCAACTTTCAACAACAAAAAATGCTTCTAAAGCACGGATTCTAATTTGTAGTGTTCTTTGTACGGACGTTGTGCCCATGGAAACGTGTAATCATCGCTACGAAAGTTTTATTAAGAGTGGTGATTTTGGTCATAGTACGACAGCTTCGA